AAGTAACAAAGTGCTGATATGCTTTTATAGAGTTTTAATTATTTTAAACTCATTCTTGAAATAATAAATGTATGTACAAACGATCTATAAAGCAGATACTGGATTCAGTAAAAATAATGAGTAACTATTTACTTTAAAACTAGCGACTTATAAGTCTAACTTTCTAGCTCTCTCTCTCTCGTCCCAAGCTACTATACTACTCCTTTTATACCTTTCCTTAGAATAAAGAACCAGAATCATGACATCTCAATTCCCATCCTTGACCCGTTTACATTTATTTTCCTTTTAATTGTTTTTAATTTAACCTACGTTAATTATGTTTCCCTGCTGTAGCCTTGAAGTAAGTTTTAATTGGCGTCTTTCTGGCATCTAAGCAAGCGTGGGTACGCGTGACCTAATTTGAGACAGGTACATATTCCTCATTTTGTCACTAGGGACGTGACAATCTGCTACATCAATGATTGCTTCCGGAAGGAGTTGAAGCTCAGTTCAGAAACGATCTAAGCACTTAGGAATGAACCTCTTTTTCTCATCTTAAATAGTGAGTCCGGCATTGTGGGATTGCTCGTCTGACAGTTTCTTCTTGTTTTTTTTCATCTGAATCACAGAACTTTTTATTTTATTTTAGAAGAGCCTTTTTTCTAACACTTTGCGCTAACATGTTATGCTTTTGTTAAAGAAAAGGTTTAATTAGTCACCAATTTGTCAACAGTTTAAAGATAGACCTACTCTTGTGTATCTTTGGTTTTCTAGTATATCTTCCTTTCCCTAAAAAAAAAAATAAAGATAGGTAAAATAAAAGATCTTAAGCTTCACCTCTAGTGGTCCGACAGCTACGCTGGGCAGGGCACGTATCCCTTATGGGAGACGAACGTATGCCAAAGGCAGTCCTTTTTTGGTGAGCTAAAAGGTGGTCGACGTGACAGAGGCGCCCAACGGAAACGCTTCAAAGATCAGCTTAGGCGTCAACTTTCCTTGGCTGACATAGATGAAAGCACCTGGCTGCATGCGGCGTCGGAACGAGACAGCTGGAGGTCACTCACGAAGGCCGCGGGATACACATTTGAGACCAAAAGAAAATCTGCTGCCGAGGACAAATGCAGACGACGAAAAGAAAATCTAAATCAACCACCTGAGGACAATGGTTATGCTTGACCCGGATGTGGCAAAATATGCAGGTCACGGCTGGGGCTGCGCAGCCACGGGAAATACTGTATTCCTCATTAATCTTCGGACTCGAAGACAAGCCTTATTAAGTGGCCATAATTTCAGAATGAAAAAAGTACTTCAATCATATTAAAAAATGCTAGGCAAAAGTTAATTTCTGAAAAAGAATGTTGACCACATATAGATTAAATGAATGAAATACACATCTATTCAATAGCTTTTCTGCTTTTAAATTTCCTGTACTGCTACATGGTTCCAGACATTAAAGCTGCATTGTCATATCTTTGAGCTCCACATATACATTCAAGCTCAACCTTTTCTACACATTTAAAGATATTCAGTTGAGCTCATCAGCTTTTTTAAAAAATAGTTCAACTTCTGACTCTGATCAGTGTGTGCTATGTCAGGTGTGTTGTCAAACCAAATACAAAGGTGCTTACAGTCATTCCGACTTCAATATCATTTTACGTCGTTTGCAAAAACATTTATAAACTTTTTAACATGACAGATATACTTTCAGCTATGGGTTTTATTTACATAACATTTTCATCATCTCATGGAAATTCTTTATTCAATAAAGACTCGTTGTTAATATGGTCACAAAATGTCAAATTTTCTGCTTTTAAATAAACAGTCCGTGCAATATATCCTTCAATTGTTTTTTTCGTTACATCAATTATAGCAACGACTTCCTTGTCAATTGTATTTGTAGCCGGATGCCCTTGTTTTCCAAATCCAAATTTCTATTTTATTTCTATACAATTAGTTGAAAATAGTCGACAACAAAAGAGCACTTTTTTTTTGCTATTAAGTGACTAATTCGTCCCCATTAGGAAGCATCAGAACCAAGAAGAAAAATCCCCTACAATATTCAAGTATATCATTCGACTGAAACATTGTAACATTTCCGTCCTCTCGGCTAGAGATTCTTTTACAGACGAATGAAATAACATTATTATCTTCAGAAATCTCAATGGGCAATTAATTACTTTTCAATTCTACACAATTTACATTAATTACATGTGAGATTTCAATAATATTTTATACCTGAACAATGTCGTTTTTTGTTAAACAGTGACTATTGTTTGGCATCCTGAAAATTAAGAGTTTGTATTAGAAAATAAATTCGTCTTTGCCGCCGGTCGACTAGTTGTTATAAATGAACTAGCTGCATAGGTAGTCACTGTGTCACTGCACATGTAACCGATGTTAGCATGTCTCTGGAATGTATGTGTATTAACAAACCAGCGTTCGAAATATGGTCACATACTCTTTCAGAATAGACTCGTCATGTTTTTGCGACATTCCGGAAGCTTTTGGGGACCTTATATAAGCCAGAGAGAGAATGTGCAAGTTCGGTTGACTACAGTCGGTAGAGTTGAATACGGCTCGATGCAAGTTCAAGAGAGTTGGGTACGGTTCAGTACAGCTCAATAGACCAAGTAGGCCTACAATGAAGTTCAGATAGTTTACAGTGACATAAATCACTAGATTTTATAGTAAATACAATTGTCTGAAATTGAAATTCGAGTTGTCATGTTCTGTGCAGCGATGTACGTGCGCTTGTGTCTACATAAGATTAGCCAGAAGAAGAGGAATACAAAACACTATTTTCCCCTACATAAATGCAACATTTCTCAAAATGTGGAGCGAGAGATTCTGACAAAAGGAGGGGGAAGAAAACGATGCATTCATTTTACAAGAGAAATAGAAAAAAGTTTATTTTCTTTGTAGTTTTAAATCCTTATTTAAATATTAACCAATAAAAAGGGTTATAGCCTAATTTTCTTTTTTAAAAAAATATTGACGTTTAAAAATGTATAGTTTTCAAGAGAGGCTTCTGCATTAATATTTTGCTGAAAATTCTTAGAAGACATTTCAAAACGTCTCCACTAAACGTTGTCTTTTTAGTGTCGGAATAGTTAAATTATACAGACCGTCTTACATCATTGTATGTTGACGACGTAATTGCGTTTATAAAATAAAAAAAAAGGCGCAACCCTACAGGCGCTGTATATATGTAGCAGTACCTTGAATGTTCTTTGCATCGTAACATTGGCCATTGCTTCTTGTTTCTTCATTGGACTTAATTTGACGTGCCACTATTTTTTAAAAACTAGGAATTTGTCTTGTTTGTTCGTCCTTCAGAGTTGAAGGTAATCTATTTCTGAGTCCAACCCTCCTGCAGGACGACCGGGGATGGCAGCGTGGAGGGTGAGCCTGGGACCCTCTAGACAACCGAACGACAGTCAACCTTGATTTTGTTTTAGCAAGCCCTCTTCTTAAAAGTTTCCCTTTCAGACCTTGTGCTCTATAGGGCAGATGATGTAAAGGTCATCTGTTTCTGTGGCCTACAGTTAACGAGGGTGTCCTGTGGCAACTACAACGACCAACTGCCTTTACTTTCCCCAACTAATGTCAGGTACCAAATAAAGCTGGGTGGACTCAGTGGAGCACAAAGATCCCGAAATTAAAAATACCGATACCAGTCTTCACAAGGAACACCGGTTCGGAAGTCAAGCGCTTTACCACTCAGCCACCGCGCATCTTCCTCTTCTTACTGCCGGTAGAAGAAAAGTCTCTAATCGTGCGTTCTCTTTTTTTTCCTCCACACAATTGTATTGTAATGATGACTTACTTCAAAGTTGAAACGAAATTTAAAACCTGTATCCTGATACGGTTAAGGTTTTCAAATATTTCAATACAAAAGCTGATAAAGTCTAAGAATACTCAGAAATAATATGTTGGGCTATTTCCTATGTCATAGGGGGTGCCCGTGTGCGTGTGTCTGGAAAAAAGTAGGCTAATGCTGGTATCAGAATTCACAGGTAAAATGATGGGCTTGGGATGGTTAGCATTATAAAGGGTGCCATGATGTAACAGAAACTTTAATTCAAGTTTTTTATGGAAAAAAAAGGGTGGGGGAGAGAAAAGTAATACGGTACAAAATACACAGTTCAGTAGTGAGAGTGTTGGGGGGGGGGGGGGCATTTATATTATAGTGTTATAGGTAAGAAAAAAAAAAAAGGGAAGGGGGTTCATGACAAAACAATATATAAGCTGGGAACAAAAAAAACAACAGGCATAGCCGGTGGGTAATGCTAGTGTAATATAATGAAGAATAGAATAGAATAAAACACTGTATTTGGTTTTTAAAAGATTACATTAAGACCCCTCTCTCCTTTTTAAAAAATATAATAAAATAGTAATAATAAAAATTGATGCATAATTTTAAAAAATGCATTGGTACTAAAATAAATTGTGAGAAATTATTGAAAATAATTTTTTTGGTATAATTTTGAAGTAAAAAAACAAGAGATTGTAAGAAGAATGAGACATTGGACTTAATTATTGCAGTGTCAAAAGCTCTTTTGCTAAATGAAAGTACTTTCCAAATATCATCATGTTGCTAATTTATATGTTATCAGTATGCCAAAAATAAATAGGTACCGGTAACTAACAAACAAAAACACAAACAAAAATTTTTTACACCCACAATTAAAATGGTACAGTTCTTGAAAATTGTATAAACTGATTGTTTATTATTATTTTTTTTCAATTGAACTTAATGACACAAAAAAAATTCCCAAAAACTCACGAGTACAGTTACTACACTAGTTCTTTGTTAACAATGAATGGAGTACTGTTTGAAAAGCATTAATGGATAAGAAAAGTTGATAGTAGGCCTACATGTAAAGATTTCTGTTGTTATTGTCAATGTTTCATAGTTTACACAAAATATATTTATCATTCCTTCAGTCCAAAACAAAATAATTTTAACTATAAAATAATGTTAAAAATGACAGATTTTCTTCAAAAGTAAATTTTATTAGAAAAAAAAAAAAAAGATCTATCCACGTTAAAAAATATAAGCCACCTGGATTATTTAGAATGTCTGCATTCCAGATTTGATCATCTGACACTTAATTTAAATAAAAACATCCTAGCTTACAATATTCACATGGAAATGACTTCACTTGAAATGAATAACAAATACAATAAAAACATTAATAATTCAAACACTATTTATAAAATGCTTTTGTGTGTGTGTGTGGGGGGGGGGGGGGGGGGGAGTGGCGACTTCACCCAATATACTACAATTAACATTACCTAGTTACTAGTATATCTGTATTAAACCACTTGTTAAGTTCATGATTATTTTGAGTGGTTTTCTCAACTCTACAATGTAAATTTAAATAGTAATGTATTAATGTTAATAAAACTGTAAGTAGTTAGTAGCACTAGTATAAGCATGCTCATCCCAACAAGTCAAGTCTCAAAGAGCTAGCAAATTAGCAAGTTTAAGAAAAAACTGAGCAGGTTGACTTGCTTACATTATTTATTTTGCCAACTTGCTAAGCACTAAGATTTTCACCAGGAGGGAGCAGTTTATATTTGGCCGTCTCACCACCACAGGACATGATGTGTGAAAAAAGCTGATTGGATGTTCTCTTTCTGTGGATACAAAGGTACCTCTCCTGACCTTTGCCCCTGCTATTACACTTCAGTTTTAGCTCCTTCGATATGCCATGTATCACTTTACTCTGCTCCAAGCTAAATTCATTTGAAAGCAAAAGGTCTTCCTGGTCGCTGAATAACATAGTTCTGAATAACTCCCCTTACTCGCTTTCGAAACTCACCAGTGACTCCATTACCTGTATCAAGACTAAAACCCTGTCTGTTAAACACACTGGTCAGCTTTATAGGTTCTGAAATACCAGACCCATCTTTGCCAACACCACCCCCTGACCAACCCATTTTTCTAAGCATCTTATTTCCAATGTTACTATTGTCATTATAGATGACATTTGACTGCTCATTGATATGGCTCAACATTTCCTCTTTGGTAACTGTAATATCTGAGTCTATCACCTTTTTTTATTTTAATAGTCCAGCACATTTGTCTTAATCTTTTCAACCATTCAGCCGCAGCCTCATTTTTAGCATCAGGCTTCGTTACTCCTTTCATGTCAGCCAAAACTTTACCCTCTATTTTCAGTATACATCGAAAATCACCATCATCACAGGACAAATAGTCATACTCTACAATCATCTGATTAAATGAAGCACTTCTTCCTAAAGTGCAAGTAGGCCGATTTTCTGTGTCAGGCATCAGTGGTTCAACAATTACAAAATCTTCTATTGGCTTGAATTCCCTAAAATAATTTAGGTTGTCATCTTCATTATTTGTAGAATCCTCTCGTCGCTTCTTTGCAGTATTTGTTTCTACTTTCTCTGAGTTTAGAGTTGGGGACAGTGTGTCAACTCTCTGTGAGACAGGGGTAAAAGGTGTTACTGATGCATGCAGTTCAGCCCTGGATGGATCATCAAGGTTGACTAGACGAAGGTAAGGCATAAAAATCTTTTGCAAGGCAGCCTCATAAGCATGACACCTGGCACCAAATCCTTCACCTGAAGCTATCTTTATGTCATTAAGAAAAACATGACAAATAACAGGATCCTTGGTTTTCTGCTTCTTGGATCCTTTACGTGGTTTAATGCTTTTTATTACGAGGGAAACTTTCTTAACTGCTGAGTTCAATCTATCTACGTCACCATAGCACAGGTTTTCCAAAGCCATAACTTCATAGGCCAACTTTCAAAATTTAATGAGATTAACATCTTTTTCTGCTTTCCAAGCAGCAAAGTATTCCTCCTTGGAAAAGAGTGGTTGTGCATTTGATACTTTGGAAGTTTTGCTGGACGAGACACCCACATCAGCTGTTCAATGTCTTTTGCTGGAACTGATGCAGCTGCTGTGTCACCAACATGATCAGACAAATCTTGTGAAGAAAGTAATAAAGGTTCCTCCCAGCTACCACTGCCCCTAGGATTGTCAACCCTCTCTAGCACTGTCATCTTATTTTCTGTAGAATCTCTTGTTTCTAGTTTCTGATTGTCTGGGCTGAGACTCTCAGCGGTCTTGACAAACTGTATTTCTTTGCTTGAATAAGCTTTACCTTTACACTTCCTACTGCCACTGTTGTGAGCAACTGCATTGTCTGAAATTCAAGCAAGAAAAAAAAAGATAACATAGCTTCACAAGTACATCTCTATAGCTTGTATGTGTTATATTTATATATGAGTGTAGTTTCTATTTTTTGGCATCTTAAAGGGGACAGGAAAGATGAATTCAGTGCTGTGACTTTTATGTGGAAAACAAGCCCTTCACACAAGTTTAAATCACATACATATTAGTTAGGATTCATCAGAGCAGTTTGGACATCAATATAATAATACCATCTCTAATTTAAATTCTCAAGATACTGTATCCCCAGTGTTAAATTACGTTTTGTAAAATTGTAATAAGAAAGAGAGCCTTTACAGGTACTATCATAAAAGTTACGTTTCTGCTACATGCAGTCACTAAACCATTAACCATTGCTGATATCTTCAGCCACACATTAAAAGGTGCACTGATATTGTTGAAAATGACAAAATAACAGGTACAGATATTTATAAGTATCACAAGCTTTCAATTTAATCATAAAAATATATATATATACATTAGGGTGGTCCAGAAAAACAAAGTAACAGATTTAAGTTGTCCACAAGGTTATTTCTGTTCTTTGTTATGTTAATAACAATTGTGCAAAATTTTAATGAAAACAAATAATATTTACAGGTCAACCCATTTGACAGTTTTTTGAGTTATCTCAAATGAAATAGTTATTGTCAATTATAGTTGATGATCGATTTAAAACTTAAGGTTAAAATTTTAAAGTAAATTAAAATTAAGAAATTAAATTAAAGTTGTAATTAAAAAATGTAACTAAAACTTACAATCTAATGAAAACCTTAGTTTTAAAATTTGACAGTTTCACAGTGGATAATCTATGACGACGACATAAGTGATGTCTTTGATGGAGTTGGGAAATTCCTGCGATGGTTTGCAACCAATCGAAGAATAAACTGTTTCTGTTCCTCATTCTTTGTCAGTGTATCATTGTATTTCTCAATAAGACTAATTCCCCTTTCAGCTATATCATTTACAACTGTCATGTGTGCAGCCAGTTCATAAAATTTCTTGAAGACTGGATCAGATGTCCACTGTCCTGGTGGTTTCTTAAGGAATGTCTGAGACTTTTCTTTGCCTTCTTCCATGAGGACATCAAAGAAAGATGTCGTCCTTTCTGTCACCAGGTCCTCCAATTTCAACTGTTCAGATTCACTTGTCAACTTTACACGCCGAGGGATGTCAGAATGTTATTTCTGAAATGTCATGGCCAAGCGCCTGTGCAACAGCTCCAGCAACAAACACAGCTCCACGGTCTGGGAGGCAAACACGATCCAAAGCACCTACAACTTCAGGGGACTGGAAGATATTCTTAACTTTCTTTTTTGATGATGAAGCACCAGGTGTTGAATCTGTTGATGTTGACGTTGTAGGCGTACATGGCTGAGTTTGAGTTGGCTGATACTCCTCATCTTCTTCTGACTCCGAATTAGATGTCAACGAAGAAAGTTCACCTTCTGTTTCATTGAAGCCCTTTGTCATGCGTTCTTCATATCTCATTTTCACCTTTCTCTCTTTTTCCTCTCGTTGCCTCTTCCTGCTTTCTTTTGATGCTGTCTTTACGTCTACTCCAGTCATGCTGCAGGAAAAAGTATCTTCTCTTTGCATGCGAAGAAATTCCCGATCTTCTTCGTTCTGTATTTCTGTCATCACGTCCTTTGTCGCAATATCAAACAATTCTTGAAGGTCACCTTTAAACATGTCTTCTTTCATCCTGTCGCTTTCTCGTTTTCGTGTTCTGTGTACCTTCAGAGCCAGATAGTTCTGATGCAGCTTTGACAGTTTTCTGACACATGAGTCAACCCGCTGTGTTGGTATTCTGGCTCGCATCCAAATACAAATAGCTGCATCACAAGTCATTTTATAACTTTCCGGAAGAGTTCGTCCTTCAGTTAAATGATGAAACTGGAGCAGTTGAAGTACATCCAGCATACGTGGCAATCTTGCTGTAGATAACAGAGAAATTGGCTTTCCAATCAGCCAGTTCTGTGGGTCGGATCTCAAACTGGAGGAAGCCATTGTTGTTTATAGTTTATTACTTGAAGAGTTCAATAGGTCAATTTCAGTTCAATGGCAATTTAGTATTAATTCAGTAACAACTGCAAAATAAAAAAATAACATGCACGTTAGAATTCAGCACACAAGTAAGTAAGTAAATTAATTTATAACGTGTCAAAGTCGGACGTAAATCGCAAGCGCGGACACCAGACAAGTAATGTTGATAATGGGTTGACCTGTAGATGTTGCTCGATCAGCTTGAAATTTTGCAGGCCAAATACCTATACCCAATGGACAAAAACAAACCATGTGGAGCAATGATTCTACAAACTTAAACTTTTCAGTATGGTTTTCTGGACCACCCTAATATACATAATGTATTAAACAATTAACATTTTTTCAATATATAGATCTATAATAAGAATGCATTTTAAGGACTCTTTAAAGAAAATAATTAATTACTTTTATTACCAGAAGCTTTAATAAATGATGCAGAATAATTTTCTTTTCTTGCTGCTGATTTTTCCTTCTCCACCTCTTCTAAAGATAAAATACCAGCACTTCTTTCACTGAGCTCTTTCATTACTTCCAGTGGATATGAACATCCATATACTGCCACATTTACAAGACAGCGAGAAAGGCAAAGAAGCCTATCAAGACTCAGACTGTCAAAGTTAGATAATAGAAATTTCCTTCTAATACTCCACTCAGTGCTGCTTTCAAACTCATCACGAAGATTATCAACATCTAATGATGGTGGATCTTTAGCCATATCTTCTGCTGGCTGAATTTTTCTACGGTGAAAGAAAATTAATAGATTATTAGTAAAATATTATAAATAAAACAATGTGTGTGCGTGTGTTACAACACTCCTGTTCCTTCTAGTATTGGATTGGGTCACAAAAGAAGCCTACTCTAACGCAGGGAAAGGAATCCAATGGACTCTCACACAAAAGCTGGAAGATCTGGAATTTGCTGATGACATAGCCCTATTATCACACAGACTACAGGATATGCAAGAAAAGGTCACAGCTTTAAGGAAAGTAGGA